AGGTATCATAAATATTTAGATGGGGCTTTTAAAAAATATAGGGCGTGTTGTTCTTTACACCCCGGTTTTTTTTTGTAAAAAAAAATTTTTTTTTTTTTTTTTTTTTTTTTTTTTAATCACTCAATTTTTTAAAGACCTTGGTGTTGCAAACAGGAGTGATTGTAAAATGCTCAGGACTATCTGAATCCTAGTTTTGTTTTAGTGTTTTTACTTTTGTTCTTGCTGTTATGTAAAGATGAGGATCTCATTTTGCTGCCTATGTTGGTCTTGAACTCCTAGCTCCAAGCAATCCTTCTGCCTCAGCCTCCCAAAATGCTGGGATCCTAGGCATAAGTCGCAGCACCCAGCCATGAATCCTAGTTTCAGCACATTTGCCTCTTATTTTTAAAAAGTCTTACTTCTACAATTATGTGCTTTGTAAATCCTTTCTTTTTGGAGAGCAGTGATTTAGCTTTTTCAAGACAGTAGTTTTCTTGAAGGCAGAGGCTCTTGGTCAGCAGAGGCCCTGCCTTTGTGCCCTGAATGCAATGACTTTCAGTGGAATTTTGTCTCTTCAGTGTAACAACGTGCTGACGAGAATGCCTGCTCTCTAAGTTAGTCTAGTGAGGAAGACAGATACGTCATCGGACAATTATCATCTGGGACAACAGATGCTGATGGTGAAACCTGGTGTTGCAGCAAAAACCCAGATAGTTTATCTGCTCCTTACTCTAAGGGAATTGTGGAGTGCCAGCAGGTGAAGTTACCTGTAGTTTCCTTCAGGATGGCCCAAACTGCTTAAAAAAAAGACTCATCAGCCCAATTCTCCCAAGACCCAAATATGACATCAAAACATAGAGAATAGGCTTGGCCTGGTGGCTCACGCCTGTAAATCCCAGCACTTTGGAACGCCAAGGTGAGTGGATCACCTGAGGCTGGGAGTTTGAAACCAGCCTGACCAACATGGAGAAACTCCGTCTCTACTAAAACTACAAAATTAGCTGGGCGTTGGTGGTGCATGCCTGTAATCCCAGAAGGCTGAGGTAGGAAAACCATTTATATCCCGGAGGCGGAGGTTGCAGTGAGCTGAGATTGTGCCACTGCACTCCAGCCTAGGCAACAAGAGTGAAACTGTGTCTCGAAAACCAAAACAAAACGAAAATACAGAGAATAGAAAACTGTCCCTCCACCTCTGTGGGGCTGAAGGTAAATTCCCCCACTCCCATGAGGTTTGTAATAATCAACCCACAGATGAGAAAAATCAGTTTTTGTTTCCAGGATAGGATATGGGCCTAAATTAGTTTTCTGAATCACAGTGACTGAGAGGAAGGATTAAAGTTTTGTCTCAAATAGGCTTTTCTGACCTCTGCTTCCTCTCGGTTGGCATCATGCAGAGGTGTGTAATTTGTCATGATTGGCATGGAAGCCACTCATTGAAGGAAATTCCCCTTTATCTGCCAATCAGAGCCCAGGGTCCTTTTCAGGGCAGGGCAAGGCAAAGAAATTCAAGTTGGGATCTGTGACAAAATTATTCAGCAATTCAACCATTTGTTCGGTATATATCTAGTTCCAGCCCACATATTGACGAGTAACACATGCGCTATTCAGGAAACTGAAAGTAAAGAGAAGAGATCAAGCTCTAAAAAAGAACAAGCACTGGCGAACTTCAGTCTGAATGAGGATATCGTCAGAGATTTCCTTGTTTCACAAAGCCATTCCTCAGATCTCTTTATAAACAAACTTTACTGGAGGGAGAGGAAAGCTTGTGGCTTCACACACCCCCATCGGTTAAAGCTACATTGAATTAAGCACTTGATTGCAGTCACAATAGAGAGAAATAGAAGTCACTCTGCAGGTGAGAGAGCTTCTCAAGGTAGAATAATACAGCTAGTGGGAGAATCAGAAAGACCACACTGAGGACCATTTGAAAATACTTAACTATTTTCCCATTCTCACTTAGTATTTAAGACATCTGGTAAAGTTCTGCCTAGAGACTATCCCATGGGACCTTTTTAAAAAAAATTAATAAGATTTGTAATGATCATACTATGTTGCAAAGACAATAACACTACAGTTTTTTAAACTCTAGAGCTTTGTTTTCTTAGGCAGGCTAAACAGACTCTTTGTAATCTTGTTTCTATTATTGGTTTACTTAGCAAATCCTTTCCCCTTTAAATAGTGGAAAGTTAAAAATCCAATGCATTGATCAATAATGGCCAATTAGTGGATACAGATTAAGCCAATTTTATTCTGTCACTTTGTCTCAAATTAAAACCAGCTCTTATAAGAATCTTATTGGGTTCCAAAGACAAATATTTTTCTTTTCTTTTTTTTGAGATGGAGTCTCGTTCTGTCACCCAGGCTGGAGTGCAGTGGTGCAATCTCGGCTCACTGCAATCTCCTCCTCCTATGTTCAAGTGATTCTCCTGCCTGAGCCTCCTGAGTACTGGGATTACAGGCAACCACCATCATGCCCGGCTAATTTTTATATTTTTAGTAGAGACAGCGTTTCACCATGTTGGCCAGGCTGGTCTCAAACATCTGACCTCAAGTAATCCATCTGCCTGCCTCGGCCTCCCAAATTGCTGGGATTACAGGTGTGAGCCACTGTGCCAAATAAAAATATTTCTTGCTAAAAATAATCTGCCCTTAATTTTTTAGGAAGATGTAGATTACATTACAGAAAGTTATATATTAAAAAAAGATTTGAAAGGGTAAATGTTGAAGTTTAGCTATTCCAGTTAAGAACATGGAACTGAACTATTTCACAGTGATCGTCACAGGGTTGTGAATGTCACAGTCATTAAAGGCAGCACAAAGTAAGTAAAGAGGTGTAGTCATTTTAGGGGACAAGTGAGAGCAGCAGAGGTGTTGACTGGTATTCAAATGTTGGCTTAAATCCCTTAAGAAGGGAACCTGTTTTCTACAGCATTACGCTTAATAATTTGGGCCACTGATATATCTTCTTACTCGAAATAAAAACTATGTGGTTCTCAAGGCTATCTAAAACCATAAGAACAGGCAAGCTAGAAAGAGCTCCTTCTTGAATTGACTTCTGAATACAGACCATTATTGCTTTATTGCATGTCCCCCTCCCTAAAACTTAAAACGGCACTCATGTCCCCAGAATCTCAGGAAAGCATACTTATGTGCAGCAAATGCCCATCAGGCTCCACTGAGTTAGTGAACTGTGTCCTAGTTGGCACTGCTGTTGTCAACTTCATGTTCTAACTGATGGTTTAGAGGATCTGGTGGAAACTGTTGTTGATCCTGGTTACTTGTTTTTGTGTGAGCACCCTCTGGTTTACAAAGCTAACAAGAAGTGACATCTTTTCTTTACACACACACACACACACACACACACAAATCCAAAATAATGGCAATTAAAAAATTGTTAAGAAAAGGGCACAAGATTCCACTCGTCAACCTTGAATATTCATTACTTATATTTTTGCTTTATATTTAATGCAAAGATATGAAACCTCAGTGTACAAAACCAAACATAATGACAATGTCTAACAAAAAAAGTTGTAGGTTAATGTAACAATAATTGGAGATAAACTAAATGCCAGCAAACATTTCAGAATGATCCGCTATGGCGTACAGGATATCTGGATGTGATAGCTTCTTCTGCATAAAAAATAATCCCCTTGTGATTTCAACAAATTTCTATTTTTGTGGTTATGTTTGAACCTTACGAAAAAATCCCAGTTGAGTCTGGATTTTCTTAAAACACAGGTTTAATTTTTTTTCCCATCTAAAATGACTCTCCTAATTAAAGTGAAAAGATGCAGCTGTTTTCAAAGACACTGTTTCCTGATATTTCATTCAGAAACTATCCTAACTGCTGGCAGAAAGATGGTTTCTATGTGAGACAATGAGAAGTGGGAACATTTCCTAATCTCCTGTAAGATCACATTTGTAAACTACTCTTCACATCACCCCATGCAAAAGTTTAAAAATTTAGAATGATTGAAGCTGGGGCATAGATTACTACAATAACATTTAATAGCAGCTTAGCATACCTTTAAAGAATGCTGTTCTAGACGGATGTGCATTTTACAGCAATTATACACAAGAAATGAATACACACATGAAGCTGTGTAGTTATTTCAAAAACAGCTTGTCTCTGTGAAAAATGTCTTGCTCTTGGCCTATTCCACTTTTCAATAAAATAGGGATTTAAAAAGTAACCTTGAAGGGGGAAGTCAGGAACAAATTTGATAACTTGGACTCAAACCTCAAAGATGTGCTCTGCTGTAGTAACAGACAGTCTGTGAATTCTTTCCATAATCAAATAGTTTCCAAGTTACAAGTATTTCACAGACAGGAAAGAGCTCTTTTCCCTAAGTATCTGCTTTGCAAATTACCTAGAAGACTGGATGAAATTTTTTGTGAAACGGTACTAGAAATAGTGACCCTTTGCTGCCCAGTAATGAGCTAAAAATAAAAAAAGAAAAATTTAAAACTTTCTAGCCCTAGCAAATAAATAATTTTTTAAAAAGGAAATCCATTTGCGAAAAACATAGTCAATTCAAAGTCCCAAATCTGGAGATGAAATAAATGTGAAAAGGGTTCACTGCTGCATTCAAGTTTCAGGGTAATCAGAGGTGGGGGCTGGGGGAGGGGGAAGGCCCCTCCAGGTCCCTGGAGCCAGAGCAGGCGCTGTGCACAGTAGCCATGCCTCCCTGATGGAACCCAGGAAGGAGACATAGGATGCTCCCCCTCCTCCCTCTAATCTTCATTTTCATCTCATACGACACTTAGCTTACCTGAAAGTCTTCAGGTTAGATCATCCGTAAAGAAATCGGCATTTTTTTTCATTGCCTTTAAATTCAATCTGTGTGTGTGCCCAACAAAAAAGTGCTTTTGGGCCACTAAATTTTCACGTAACTTTATGGTTACACATTTCAGAGGGAAAACAAAGACTCTAGTGTTGGGTATTGTGAGTCCTGTTTTCAACTGTTCCTTCTCCTCCATATGTCCCTTTATTTATCTAACAGAATTAAGTGCGATGGGAATGGACACAAGCTCCTGAATGTCAGTGGTAAAAAAATTAACTGGTTTGAAGAGGCAGCTTAGCAACAAACATGTGAGAAACATAACATGTGTGAGGGTTAGTTCCCTGTACGCTGCCTCAGAGTTAGCTGTAATACTTGAGCAAAAGTTACTTCCATCTCTATGTGAACTAGTGGGAGTGCCATGCAGACTCCTGCGGCTGGTCCTCCTCCTTGCGATGTAATCAGAGTCTGTTTGGGTACTGCAACTGCACAGGGCATAGAAGCTCCATCTGTGTTCACGAGAAGAACAATTCTGTGAACTGCAAATGTTAGTGGGAGGACATGATTACTGTTTTCAAGTATCTGAAGGATACCATGTGGCAGAAAGATTAGAGATGTTTGTTTTCACTTGAGAGAACAGAATGAGGACAAACTGGCAGAAAAACTACAGGACAACAGATTCTGGTTCAACCAACGTAGACGTGTAGGAAGCTACTTACTGGTCACTGAAGCAAAAGCTGGAAAGTTACTTAAGAAGAATGAGGTTTAGTGGATGTGTGCTGAAGTCAATGACCCATAAGCTCCCTTCCTGCTTCTGACAGCTTTTCTTCAGGCCCTAGAATAATATGCAGATCTCATTTGGAAAACTATTCTTAGAAAATAACAAGTATAACTTTTGGAGGGAACATTGTATTTACAAATATTTCCACTGTTTCCTTCGGAGGACCAAATTGGAGGTAGAATTCCAGAGGGAAGCGGAATGCAGAGGAATACTTCCAGGACGGGGCTGGAATGCACAAAGGATCAGATGACACCCTGTGATGAGGACCGCCATCTGAAGCATTATCCAGAAAGCATGATCCAAAGGCTCAATTACTGTAGACTGATCTAACATGAGATACCCAAGTGTCATTTAAGATGCTGCCTGAAGGCTTAGCATTTCCAGGTGTTAGCTGCATAAGAAAATAATCCTCACGTGTCTTGAGACACTCTTTAACAAAGGAGAAAGAAGCCTTCTAAACATGGCCCCTTAGGGGCAGAGTTGGAAGTAAAACTTCATACGTTTCCTTGCTCTGAATGCTCACGTGACCTGGATCTATCTTTGTCACCATGCAATGTATCTTGTAAAGAATAGCACTATTTTGCATGATCACATCTCTTCATTCATGCCTTTCCTTCTGTGCCTCTAACATAATTGTGGCCTGATACAGATGATGCTCGTGGCTCCTGAGTTAGCAGCTCTAATAACTGAACAACTGTACATTTCGGCTAAAGTGGAAAAGCACTGATGTGGATGTAAGTGTGCTCTTGGCTTCATGTGAAGTCTACTGAAGCAGGCACATGGGATGCGTTAAGGTGCTTGGCAATTGATTTTTTACATGAGGCTTCACCAAAAATGTAAATTTTAATGTTTTTTAGTTCTTGAATCCCAACTGAAGTGGCTCTATTAAAATTAGAGCAATTCCTAGTATTCATGCTGAGCAATCAAAAGTCCTGATTACTGCCCACCAAATACTCTAGAATGAGTACATCAGGTGAATACGGTGGCCAGGGAGAACTGAAATGTCTAGGTAATTCAAACTTTAAATCTCTGCAGCAGTGGGAGGGTAGAAAGAGAGACAAGTATTTTTCAAGCTGGGCATAAACGTAAAAAACAACAATACTTTTTGAAAATATAAAATCCAATCATCATCCAATCTGACAACCTAATGCACTCAGCAGATTTGCAAGTTCGTTTGTTCCTACAAAATATAAAAATATTATATAACGGTTAGCGTGAAACACGCTTGTTGCTGTATTTTTGGGCTTCTTTTCTAAGCCTCTGGCTTTTACTTCCATTTAAAAAGAATAATTGAGGCACTGGTTCTGAACTGAATGCTGTATTTATTATAGTGTTTTTATTAACAAACTTTCACCAGAAAGTTCTGAGTGTGTTAATACAGCGGGCACATTGGCTTCAATGTTTGGCATTTGACAGTCCACAGAATTGCACTTCATTCTCACAATTCTGCCACAACTTTGTGAATTGTTTGGGCAGGACCTACAACCAGCCTCCCCCATTAAAGGATTAAATATGACTTTTGGTTCATTCTGATTTAAATGTTCTGAGTTCACACTTGCATCCGTCTGCAACAAGCTCAGCTCCACTTTCCCTCCTGGCTTGTTTTCTGTCTCTCCACCGCTCTCCCTATTTTCCACATCTCTATTTTCACAGTGTTCCCTTTGTTTATTCTCGGGGTCGCAACATGTTTTGAGTAATGATCCAGTGCTTCCGCAGACAAATGACGATGGCACTGCCATCTTTGGAAGATGCTCTTCTATGCTCTGAAAACTGTGTACATTGGTCTTGCCAATTTTTTCTTGGGCCTGAATTTGCTGCGCTGGGTGGAGGAAAATATTCGTAGGCAGAGAATTCTGCATCCCAGCTGGCTTTACTCTGCCCTGCAGGCAGGGACAGGGGTGGATGTGCGTGAGGGGGTGCACAAAGCCCTCGGCGGCTTGGTGTGTGACCTTCAGAGGTGCCACACCATTCTGGAGCTGGACAAAGCTGCTAGCGGTAGGAGCACACTGGTGGCACAAGCAGTCTCCCATCTGCTGCCAAGAGTGTGGGCCATATTTCAAGCATTTGTAGGCATTTGGGCAGCTACATCTCTGATTCAGAGAGAAGAAGTGACACATGGTGTGCTGTTCAAGAGAGGGCTGCAGCAAGGCAGAGCCAGGGTCATTTTTGGTGCTTTTGCTGAGTTCACTGTTGTAAGCTGCGTGCACAGGCATCCCTAAATTCTTTGCTTGGCTGTTGAAAAATTCAGAGCAGATGTGGGTTTCTTCATAAGTGGTCTTCTCAGAGGCAGTGGAGCTGTGGGAAGCCAGAGGTTCTAATTCATAAAACTCATGCTCCAATTCTGATTTTGGGCCCCTGGGATCTAAATGATAAGCATTCATGGTATGTGTTTTGCTCTGTCCCTTGTCACTAGGACTTGTAGACAAGGCATGGGAAAAGGCACTGCACTGTAGTTTTCTAGGTAAAGGAATTTGACCACAGGTACCCTGCGGTCCGAGGCACCGACACATGCACTGGAAGAAGAAGGTGGCAAAGGCCCAGCTGATGCACATGATGAGCATCATGAAAGTGCCTAGCTGGGTGTAAGCTAGAACGGTGGAGGGCATCATCATGGCCCCAGCCACGAAGGTGGTCAGGGCAGCCATGGCAATGGCAGAGCCCATGCGGCTCAGAGAGAAGATCACCTTGCCTTCTCGGTCGGGATCGGGAGCCAGGCGGTAGGCAACCCCATAATGGACGGCGAAGTCTACAGACAAGCCAACGGCAACTGAAATAGTGACAGATTCCAACACGTTTAGCTCCCAACCCAGCAGGACAAGAGAACCGACAGTGACAAAGATCGTTCCAGCAATCGAAATGATGGCATAAAGGCTTATGATGATGTTCCAAGTTGTCAGCAGCATCACGCTAAATGCAACAGCAACTGACAGCCCCATGGCAATGAGGGTGCCATCGGAGAGGCTATCCTGGAGGTCATAAAACTCCAGATTGCTGACAAACCAACCATTGCTGAGGCCTTCAGGGGCTGAACTCAGCTCATTGGATATCCATGAGTCCACCTCTTTATAAAACTGATGCATCTTTTCATAAGCCAGTGTGAAGAGGTAGGTACTCTGGAACTCTAACACCACTGCCCTGATAGTATCATTGATATCAAACCTTGGCCCTGGGGTTTTCTTATACAAATGGTACCCTGTACTCCTTTCCAGCTCCATGATAGCTCTCTTGATGCACAGTTCAAAAATCTCTTGCTTATAGGGGAAGCTCCAGTGGCTGCAGCATGGGTACAGGGCAGGCTCATCACAGTCCTGGTTCTCCATCCACTGTTTGAATGTCTCAATGAAGCAGCTGGTGAAGTCCTGTTCATCAGTCTGGTAAAAGAATGTTTGGTTTCTCAGTTTTTGACAGAAGTGCAAAATCCAGGCCTGGGAAGCGGGGCTGGCGATGTTAAAGCTGCTGTCTAACGTCAGCTTCCCTTTGTTCTTGGGATTTAGTGGATTGCCGTTGTCTTCTGGGGACACGCCCCAGATGACTGTGATGGGCATGTGGAGCTCCTCGCCATGGTGGACACGTTCAAACATGAAAAGTTTTTTGTATTCAGCATCGTAACGCTCAAAAGGATGAGACGACCTGAATACCTGGAACTCGGATAACTCCAGTGAGGGCAGTTTCATCTTTGGATTTATACATACAATGTAGGCCCCACCTACAGTTAAGGCAAGGAACCCAAACAGCCAAAGGTAGCGAAACTTAATGACAATGCATGGCAACACCTTTTCAAAAAAAATTCGAGATGCTTCTGAAATGGCAAAGAGTACTTTGTGGCACTTCTGGCAAGCCACGGTCCAGCAGCTTTTGTTGCCATATACTTGCTGCTGGGGCTTTCTGAAGCAAGTGAATATATTAAGAAGATATCGTTCATGCAGCACAACAACTGCTGGAAGCCACGTGACCATCAAAACATAATTCACCAATATAGCTGTCCCCGCATACACCCCAAAGCATCTGATTGCGGTAATGTTGCTAACATAGTTAGCGTAAAAGGCAGCAGCAGTGGTAAAACTGGTGACAAACATGGAGAGGGCAGCGTGCTGCAAGGTGATGCTTACTGTTTCTGAGGTTTCCGCATGAGGCTTATCAAATTTGGTGTAGTTCCAAACATCGCACAGGACAAAAGCATCATCCGCTCCAATTCCAACCAAAATAATGAGGGCAGTGAGGTTCATAAAAGGAAAGAATTCGAAGTGAAATACTACACGATAGAGAAAATAGGAAACAATCAAAGAACTGATTATTGCAAACATTGTCATCAGCGTGATAAACATGGACTTGGTGTAGACACACATGACTAAAAGGACAATCACAATGGCTATGGCAGGATACACAGTATCCATTAGAAGATAATCCTGAAACAAACTGTGTTTGATACCAAACTCAATCCCGGTGATGGTGGTCACGCCGTCAGAAGAGTTCCAGTTTTCAAAGTTGTCCAAGTAAATGTTCATCATGCTCTCCCCTTTCTCTGTGGGAGAGAAGAGCATGCTGTATTTTAAAGCTGGTGTGGCATAGTCAGCCGTCTTTGGGGTTATAAAGTCTTTGTCCACCAAGTAATGGAGGATCTGGTACACGGCATTGTACTTGGTACATTTGCGGGGCACATTGGTGCACTTGAGCTGGTCCTTTCTTCTGGCTGCCATGTCCCAGCAGTCTGGTCCCAGAGTGCCATTTTGGTAGTGTTTGGCACAAGTCCGAAGCAGCTTCAAGGTATGAGAAACGTCTCGCTCGACTATTTTCTGACAGGACGATCTGTTGTTCAGAATGGCGATGTAGTTCCCCAGCGTCCAGCTGGGGCAGCAGGAGGCAGCAGTGGTCCTCTGGCAAAGATCGCCAAACTGGGGATGCGATCTGATCTGTAGAGATGGAGACAAGCAGAAGGATTTCAACTTAAATCGGTTCACCATAGTCCAAACTGGAAAGGTCTGAACTGAGGTGACCTTGAGGGACAGGGAAAGTTACAAAAGCTAAACAAGTATCCTCTTAAATTAGGAATCAGTTTGAATGCAGGGTGAGATACTTCCCCCAAATGGTCTCATGTTACAGGATACCCTTTAGGTTACTTTCTTCTGATTAAAAACTACTGTGTGGGGATAACATGCAAGTATGAAACAACTTCAACCAAAGCTAGTTTCAAAGGAGATCAAATTAACACCTACTTTAGTCAACAACTCTTTTCAAAGTCACTTTAAAAAGCAGTAAAGTGGATAGGTTGTGAAGCTTAAGTATATACATGTGAAGGATTAAGAAAACAACCATACAATTGATATATGAAACAAATTTGTGGTTTTGCCTAAAATTCTGGCTATCAGCATGAAATTGTTGGTGACTAAAATACTATATTTCAATCAACACAGTTAGAAGCAAAGATGATATTCCCTAGAGAACTGCTTTGGTCTGAATGTTTGTGCTCCTCCCAAATTCAAGTTGAAACCTAATTTCCAGTGTTAGTGTTAGGATGTGTGGCTTTTTGGAGATGACTAAATCACAAGGGAGGAGCCCTCATGAATGGGATTAGTGCTTTTATAAGAGGCCAGATGACACAGAATGTCCCATCTATGAGGAACAGGTCCTCACTAGACCGAATCTGCTTATTTCTTGATCTTGAACTTCCCGGCCTCTAGAACTATAAGAAATACATTTTCATTGTTTATAAATTACCTAGTCTGAGGTATTTTGTCATAGAAGCCCAAACAGACTAAGACAAAAACTGTTTGGTGAATCAAAAAGTGACCCCAGTAATATCAAAAGTGCTGATCTCAAGAAGCATAAAAGTTTGGAATAAAATTGTTTCCTGAAGTATAAGTAGAAGAGGGAAATGTTTCTACATTAAAGTATGATTTATATCTGATTTTTTTTTTTTTTTTTTTTTAGACGGAGTCTCGCTCTTGTTACCCAGGCTGGAGTGCAATGGCGCGATCTCGGCTCACCGCAACCTCCGCCTCCTGGGTTCAGGCAATTCTCCTGCCTCAGCCTCCTGAGTAGCTGGGACTACAGGCACGCACCACCATGCCCAGCTAATTTTTTGTAGCTTTAGTAGAGACGGGGTTTCACCATGTTGACCAGGATGGTCTCGATCTCTTGACCTCGTGATCCACCCGCCTCAGCCTCCCAAAGTGCTGGGATTACAGGCTTGAGCCACCGCGCCCGGCTATATCTGATTTTTAAAAATTGGTATATAAAATAAAATAAATGCTTAAGAATTTAATTATTTCTTCCATACAGTTTGTCAATTTGATAAAAATCCTTCTTTTGAGAACTTTCTCTTTTGGTAAATGAGGGCCTACTGCATATTAGCAAGTATGATAATTCTGGATTTAGTGTAGACAGTATTTTATTTAAAATACTATTCCTAGGGAAGGCTTTCCATCTTACGGCTGGTGTTATAAAAAACTGAAAAATTGTTCCATCACTGGTTTGCTAGATTATGATGAAGTCTATACCATTCCACCCTGTATATTAGACAAGTAGCCCCTCTTCTCCAAGGTGAGGATAAGAAATATTCCTCTTCTCCTGAGCCTTGCCAGAGACTTCTCTTTAGGAGTACCAGAACTAAAGATGACCCCTATCAGTTTCTCTCATCTCTATTTACCAAAGGCTGCTCCAGGGAAGAAACTCCAAAGTTCAAAGAGGGAGTGAATATATTTTTTTTCTAGTAGGATTAAAAACACTCTTTACCTTGATTAAACTAGGCTTTATCAATCATGCATTGAAATGTCTTCTCAAAGGAGAGGAGAAGCTGGCATGAATCACTTCTTTAGAACTTGGACTTGCCCAAGAACCAAGTTACCTATGCTCCCTGAACTTTGTTTGTCAAGAGACTTTCCTGGGACTAATCTTGTGGGGGTAGGATGTAGATGAAACAGGACGGGCCACGTGTTAAGAACTGTGGAAGCTGGGTGACCTACTTCAACAGTTCATTATACTATTTCTTTACTTTTGTATATGCTGGAGAGTTTCCATAATAAAGAGTTGTTTGGTTTTCTAAAGATACTCTATTGAGGGTATAGAAAAATGAACCCAAAAGTTATTGTTCAAATGTACTAAAATAATATTTACTTTAACAAAGGCTTCATTTTAAAGCTCATTTTTGAGGAGCAATCGTAAACATTCCATAAACCGGATAATTCATACTTGACAGTTTCCAGGTAAAAACACTCACATATTCTAACTTAGGGAAAACCGAGCCACCTAATAACAGGAAACCCTGGAATGGCACCTCACTGGTTTTCATGGCAGATTACCAGTTTCACCCTACAAAGAAGTAACATACAAACCACTAGTCAGCTTGATGAAATGAATGAAAGGTAATGCAACCCCAATGTCTGACAGTTTTCAGATGGAAGAAAATGAACTGTATCCATTGTGAAATTCATTATCAGCTAGAAGGAAAATACCTGTAGTTGCTGAAATAACCAAATGACAAAGATAAAGGACATGGAATTGCCAACTAAAACTGGGAGAGAAAGCACAGAATTCTGTCCTTGAATAACCTTTTCAAATAATAGCACATTATTAAATGTGTATAGTTGACCAAAGATTAAGAAGTTAGACATTATAGGCCGGGCATGGTGACTCACACCTGTATTCTCAACACTTTGGGAGGCCAAGGTGAGAGGATCACCTGGGGTCGGGAGTTCGAGACCAGCCTGACCAACACAGAGAAACCCTGTCTCTGCTGAAAATACAAAATTAGCTGGGCGTGGCGGCACATGCCTGTAATCCCAGCTACTCGGGAGGCTGAGGCAGGAGAATTGCTTGAACCTGGGAGGTGGAGGTTGCAATGAGCTGAGATTGTGCCGTTGCACTCCAGCCTGGGCAACAAGAGCGAAACTCCATCTCAAAATAAAAGAAGTTAGACAATATAAACACAGACTACATACTGTTTTGATGGCTGCTATTAAAAACCAGTGCTAGTAAGTCACTGGGGAACCAATCCTCCAATTCAAAGGTGGTACTGATTGATGTTCAACCATTGGGAAACCAGTTTCGAGAACTCATACAGGCTAAGAAGAAAGGACAGAGAAAAGACATCATGACTGGTTTTCTCTACCCTGAGTTGGATGCCAGTACCCTGAATTTAAAGGAATGGAGTTCAAGGAATTATCTATACTTTTCGAGAGTAAAGTCATATGTTCTTGGTCTATTCATCCATTCAAAAAAATTTTACTGAGCATCTACGCAAGATGAATAAGGCACAGTTGTTCTTCCTCTCAAATTGTTCACAGTGTGGCAGGGAAATCAGACACAAGAACAAATAACTGCAATTCAAAGTGAGAAGTATGGTATTATATGTAAGGGCTTATGGTGACCTACAGAGAAAGTACCCAAGTCTTTAAGTGTGATGTGGCAATGGCACTAACTTAGTCACATGTGACTGAGATACAGAAACACAAAAGCATGTATTACATTATGGGGCTTAAAGAGACTGGAAAGCAGGTATGTCTTCATACAGAACACAGATACTTTGCCATATTTTTGGAAGAAGGATTTGCAGGAATAATTTCAAAATCTTTGAAGTTTATAAAAATAAAAATGGAGTTAGTGGAAGCAGCTTCTTATAACTCTCATGAGGAATATAGCCTTCTAATTCTAGTTGTTCACAAAATGGATGCTTAAGGGAATCATTGTATTTTTGTGGTTATAAAATGTCTTTGTACACTTCCCTAGTTAGATAGTGGCAGGGGTGGAGTTGACTTAAAATAGAAGGTAAAGGAAGAGAAGAGAGAAAAAGAAGAAGCCAGCAGAGAGTTTTAAATGGTATCTTAACTTTTAAAACTATTGGCTGAGTTGGAGATATTTTAAGAAGCTGAGAAAAGAATAAAAGGGAGAAAAATTAAGCTCTTAATACCAGGTTCAATTGACTGCTGGACTCTCCTTCCCCACATAACAAAACTCCGTATGTATTAAATGTTTAAGGGGAGCCTAGAGAGAAAAGAAAAAGCAAGGGCTCTGTACTCCTCTTTTAAACAAGAATGGGAAAATATGTTTCCTGGATCTTCTAAGCTTCGGGGGTTTTCCAGCTGTCCACAAAAGTCACCCTAGTAAATAGAGTCTCTGACAACAAATTTCAAATCCCTTTATAAGCTGAGTCCTCAGAGCTCCAACTTCTACAATGTACATAGACTATGAAACAAGTAAACGGTTTCCAGCAGAGTCAAGATTAGAGAGACTCATTTCTGGTTACTAATGACACCATTGTGTCCCTTAGGATGTCAAAGGGCAGAAAGAGGTAATGAACAAGAGTAGGTGAATCAACTGAAGCTCCTTTGGAAAGTGTGTAAGAAAACAAGAATTTCTGTTAGGAGGCAGACAACAGGATCAGAAACAGAAGCTATCACTTTTGGAAACCAATGCTGTCTGAATTGTGAGTATAAATGGCATGTAATTTAAACAAAATCTGGAGTCTGAACTAAATGTGCCGTAAACACAGGCAGGCGACAATTGAAACATCTGGTCTCACTGAGATATTATACTAATTACCAGATATTTTCTTGAGTCAGCCCACCAACAATTAAGGTCGTCTGCTCTCTATCACTTGGTTATGCCCCATTTAACTTCATAGTTGTTAATAATCAAGTACTTCAGTACAACAAGCAGGATTTGGGGGTTGGGGGAGAGGAACATCTGCCAAGTAGTCTTAGGACAAGTCTGCTCGAACTACTGTAGCAACTAAAAACCCTAACAGTGTCTTGAACTGGGAGACTCAAAAAAAGGTACGGCAATAATCTGAAAGCTGAAATGTTAACCAACAGTTATTACTTATCAGATGAACATATTATTTCTATAAGAAAGATTTATTATTCCAGGTTCATAGCAGAGTTTGAGACTAGAATACAAAGGTGTTTATAATTGGTAAAAATAGTATTTAACAGGTGAAAATAATAACCATACTCTTTGAGGTAGACTTTTGGGGCTTTGATCACCTATTTATTCATTTGTTGGTATGGATCTATAACTGGCCATACCAACCATTCATTTTGACATGTGTCTCGAGTCTGTTTCTCAAATTCTGACAAGAGGACCACAGTACTATTCTCTTCCTAATTAACTGCCAAAGTATAGAGATAATGCTCTCAGTTAATGACTCAGAAAATACCTGCTAAAAACATGTGGTTGTACTGATCTTGCCAGGGATTACAAACTTAAACTCACAGCTGCCCGATCCTTATCATCAGCTTGGTAGAAAGACAGACTTAGACAAGCAGAGCACATCTATTCCTTTAGATAGTCTAAACTGTGCACATGCAGCAAGCTAAACCACTAGAAAGCCACGTACTTAGACTTCATTGCTTTGATCTCTTATAGAAATGATGTTGCTATAATGTTTTCTTGCTACAGCCTACCTATGTTTTGCAAATCAGCTGAACGTTTATATTGCATCTCTTCTAAGCATGCTGTTAAGAATTTTGTATACAACATCACACTTTTTCTTTTTTTGAGATAGAGTCTCACTGCAACACCCAGGTTGGAGTGCAATGGTCCATGATCTCAGCTCACTGCAAACTCTGCTTCCCGGGTTCAAGAGATTCTCCTGCCTCAGCCTCTTGAGTAGCTGGGATTACAGGCACATGCCATCATGTCTGGCTAATTTTTGTATCTTTAGTAGAGATGGGGTTTCACCATGTTGGCCAGCCTGGTCTTGAACTCCTGACCTTGAGTGATCTGCCGCCTCGGCCTCCCAAAGTGCTGGGATTACAGGAGTGAACCACCATACCCGGATCCACACTTCTTTTATGAAGACTGTGGGGGAACTGTCTCCTCCCGCCTCAGCAGGAGGAAAAGCTGGGTTTCTAAAAAACAGATTTGTTACCTTCTTTCTATGACTTTTGTTACTGATTGTGAAATCCTTTTTGCTCCGGCAGCTGGGAGGTTAGAGATAAGTTTGTGGCTCCCGTTAGCAAATGTACGAGATTGTGGGTGTGTATCATTACATACTAAATCTCATCCTTAACTTTATTATTTTCCTCCAATTGTTTTCCCTTCATGTGATTCATTCAACTTATGTATCTTATCCTTTGCATATGCTTTTTTGTAAACTACCTCAACATGATGATTTTTATCATCTATCTATCTATCTAAATCATCATGCTGAGGTAGTTTACAAATATACATACATACAGAGAGAGAGAGATGAAAGGATAGACTACTTTTATTTATGAAAGCTATCATGGCATAGCATTGCTTACTAGCTTTTGAATCTCAGAGTCTAACATGTACTCATGGAATAAACTGCTAGCTCTTTAAGAAAAAAAGGGTACTATTCCAACCACAATGACTTTTTAAGCTTCATTTGTGTGGGAAATGGCATATACAGGAAAAAAAAAATGGAGGAGGTATCTTCCTCACTGGAAGCAGGTTGATGAAGGCAGACTCCGGAGTTCAACTTGGCTGGGTTCCAATCCTGGATGTGCCCCGACCACAAATGTGACCTCTCCTCAACTAGAAAATTGGCTATTTAGTGTTTAATTCATTAACACTGTCATGAGGATTAAATTAAATAACCTATTAAAGTATTTAGAACACTTCCTATATCCAAAGGATTATAAATCGCTCTACTATAAGGACACATGCACACGAATGTTCATTGCGGCACAGCTTACAATAGCAAAGATCTGGAAACAGCCCAAATGCCCATCGATGATAGACTGGACAGGGAAAATGTGGCACATATACACCATGGAATATTACGCAACCATCAAAAACAATGAGTTTGTGTCCTTTGTAGGGACATGGATGAACCTGGAAGTAATAATTCTCAGCAAACTGACACTGGAGCAGAAAATCAAACACCATATTTTCTTACTCATAGGCAGGTGTTGAACAACGAGAACACATGGACACAGGGAGGGGAGGATCACACACTGGGGTCTGTTGGGGGGAAACAGAGGAGGGACAGCGGGGGGTGGTGAGTTGCAGGGGGATGGCATGGGGAGAAATGCCAGATATAGGTGAGGGGGAGGAAGGCAGCAAATCACACTGCCACATGTATACCTATGCAACAATCTTGCATGTTCTTCACACGTACCCCCAAACCTAAAATGCAATTAAAAAAAAAAAAAAGAACACTTCCTGGCACACGGTAAATACTCACTAAATATCAGCTATTAATTAACTGAGTGAATTCAATCACTCAGAGTCTTCAGGAAAGGGAAGGTCTGAAGATCAACCAAAGGTAAAAGAATGAAGACAAGAAGGAACAGAAGTTAAGGAACTGCACTCATCCAAGGTCTGTAACCAGGCTGGCTTAGCTTCTCTAAGCTTAATTTATCATCTGTGAAACTGCATTATAAATTCTAGGGTCACAGATCCATTGTGAGTGATGTACAAGTACCTAGCATAAAGTCTTGCACATGGTAAATATCACTACACATTTACAACTTTAGAGTTAACTTTCTGTATAAGAAGTATACTAATGCATGACAAGGAGAAATAGGTGCACAGCCTTCAAATAAGGAACTGATAGCTGTAGAAGAGAAAATAGGACCAAAAAAAATTGATCACCAATTAAGAAACTTTGTTCTGTTGATAGATTGCCTGTGGCTTTGGTCTATGTGAAAGGAAGGTGGCAAAAAACGATGAGTTCGTGTCCTTTGTAGGGACATGGATAAACCTGGAAACCATCATTCTCAGCAAACTGACACAAGAGCAGAAAATCAAACACCGCATGTTCTCACTCACAGGTGGGTGTTGAACAATGAGAACACATGGACACAGGGAGGGAAGCATCACACACTGGGGTCTGTTGGGGGGAAATAGGAGAGGGACAGAGGGGTGTGGGGAGTTGAGGAGAGATAGCATGGGGGGAAATGCCAGATATAGGTGATGGGGAGGAAGGCAGCAAATCACATTGCCACATGTGTACCTATGCAACAATCTTGCATGTTCTTCACATGTACCCCAAAACCTAAAATGCAATAAAAACAATTTATCATTTCTGAGAAAAAAAAAAAAAAAAGAAAGAAAGGAAGACGGACTGACAGAAAATCCTGATACCTTAATCGACTGGAAAGTCATTTTCAAAATGTGCAAACAGCCTCTTAGAATGAAGGATGGGGTACATCTAGGCGATCTGGGGCCATCTAACTAGGTTACTTGGTTAAGATACTTAGTTCTTAGAAGGTACTCATGTTAGTACAATGAGACTGTTGGTTTGGGCAATCTCTTCTTTCCTTTCTACCACTTATTTCATTAAGAAATTTCCCTGTTGATAGAACAGGTGACTGCATCAGGTTGTCAGGCTAGCTCTCAACAGGGCCCAAGATTCGATTTTTAACTAACCAGTTATTTTACATTTTAGTGTTATGCTGAGAACACAGAGTTCCTTTTATGCCGGTTGCTATGCTCGGACAAGTTCATTAGTGACATCAGATAGCAGTTGCTATTTAGAGAAATCAACCCTGAACATATAAAATTGACAGCTCTTCCAAACCCAGAAGCTCACTACATCTTCTGGTGCTGACATGTTTTTGGCTCTAGGGAAGACTGCGAGACAGGGCGCCTGTCTGCTTGCATCCCGGTGTCTCCCAAAGCAGCAAGATGTTTGGCATTCGGGCAATCTGGACTGGATTACTCTCGCCAGTTACACAGATACTGTATTTATGCTCTTTGATGTCCCATTTCCCAGCCTGCTCCCTAAATTTCCCTTTGAGGTCACCGGCCCAAGTGACCCACTGAATTGCCAGAGAGGCAGGCATTTAACTGCATGATTAAGATGCTGACAACTGCCTCAGGGTGGGAAATAGGGAACAATGAAACTGGGTTAGGAAATCAACAATACAACAAAAGAATAAAAACCGTCCTAAATACTATACTGAAAAGAAATATTCTGTGAAATAACACAAAACACTATCAACAGCCAGAGACCATGAATTGGGAAGAAAAAGGAAGATGGTATGTTTTAAAGTTGGGGAAGGAAACATGGACACTTTGATCCTGGGATCTGAGAGAATGCAAAGCTGGCCTGCTGGAGTTTCCTCCTCAGTAGGTAAGCCTCTTAAGTACTTCATCTGATCAGACAAAGGAGTTTCAATAATACAACCTTATTTGTGCTAAGGAGATTTTAGTTTTATTGTACATACCCTGGAATTATCTACATTGCACATTGATTTAATTGCAGGTAAATTCCATAATGTCTCCCCTCCAGATGAAGTAAATACCACTCTGGAATATCGGTCACCTGGTGATATGAAAAAAAGGGAAGAAGAAGGTTTATGTATTTATTTCATATGACTTAGGATTCAGAAATAATTCAAACTGGGAAACCACATGGACGGTTCATTAGCAGCAGGAAATTCTTTCCTTTGACAAATTCCAGGAGAAAATGTTAAAGAAAGAAAGAAATAAGCAATGCCATAATATTGTCTTAGCGCAAAGCCTTTGTCTACTCACTACAAGTTAAAATTGTATGAATTATATGGCAAATCTATTTTTGGTCAGACTATAATTAGGAAGGTAAATCCATAAGAATTTACAACAGGAAACTAATTGAATATACCCCTCTTAATTTCACAACACATCACCATAATAAAAAAAGATGCACTAGGAATACCAAGAATGGATTATAGGGATGTTCTCCCTGGCAGTTAACTTGAGAGGAGAGATGGTGGGTGACGAATTTAAAAGCACTAAAAACAGTCAACTAGGTACAGAATGCTGGCCATATTCTGGTTGAGTACATAGTCTCTCTGGTATACTAGAGTCTAGAAAAAATATTTTGAAAATCAGATTAACACAAAATATGTTTCTGAATAAGGGAGGTTTTATGTTATACCAGAAAGAGCATGCATAGTTTTTAATGTCAGTTTAGAGTCTAACCAGGTCCTGTCATTTACTAGCTATGTGACCTTAGGCAGCTAACAACTTCTTTGAGCCGTGGTTCCTCATTTGTAAAATGGAGACAGCAATATCTATCTCAAATACTTGTGAGAATTAAATGAGATAATAATAGATGCCCAACAATATTGTTTCTGCACCCTCAGAACAAAATATGAATCACATATTAAAAAATATGAACCACATAAAACAAAGATTGATTTTATGTTAATTAAAATGCCTAATTGTGCTAACAAATCAGCTGGTAAATTTATGAATAAAGCTTTATTACAAAAGGTTTTATTTATGATCATGAAGTTTTGGCTATTATCTTATGTTGACTGATTCTGGAGAGCAAACTCCGCCTGGTGGAAACAGAAACATTTCATTTACATACAGCTGGTAATGGCTTTAGTCATGGCGGAATATACTTACCAGACAATGTTTAGTGTGGACTATTGCAATGTAAACAAGACTATACTTCATGAATTTGGTAATGTTTTTCCTGGTTAAGATCATAACTAACAGATGTTGGTTAAGCAATAATATATAGTATCACTTTGATTGAGAGAAATAAACCAGCCAGAACATGCAAGTAACCAGAGTATAACTTCCTAATTTTTTTTTTTTTAAGAGAAGAGACAAAAAACGAAACATGTATCGCTTTTGGGGATCAGCATAAGATTCTGCCTAATATTCTACTATCTATTCATATACAGAGTAAGTGATCAAAATGAAGAGCCTGAGACTTGGTAAACTCCAGAAACATCAATGATCCAATCAGGTCATCTAGTGTTCGATTAGGTGTTTTAATAAAACAGGAAAACATACATTTAAGAAGGATTTTCAACAACAACAGCAAAAGCTGAAATCAAAAGAACTTTCATGTTAATAGTCACTTAATTAAAAATTATGATATCCACAATTCCTCAATCCTAATCACTATAGCTAATCAACGGCTTACATACTTCTATTCATTTCTTCTAGGCTGTGCCTTCCTTCTTCCCTGGCAGCTGCAGAGTAATCATGCTGACTTGATGTTACAGCAAATTTTGGGTAGTGAATTTGTTGCCAATATTTAGAGATCTGATGATTCCACAGTATAATATGGATTTCTGACCTCTGGCAAGTTCTTGCAACATTTGGGCCCTCATTTCTAGAAGACCCCCTTTTGCTGCAGCTAGGTAGCAGCCAACTTCTTTATATGTAGCAGATGTTCCTTAGTGCTCCACAATCACCGTCACTTCTCTTGTCACACCTAGCCAGCTTTATTCACTTGTATTATACGCCAGGCCCCTGAGGCATTCAAACTTTGAACCTCTGGACTTTTTTTTTTTACCTCTCTATCTCTATTGCCTAGTGATAAAGCAGCATACAGAAGGCTCTTAATATAGTATATGCTTTTTGAATGAATCAGAACTTAAAATCATTTTCTGATTCATTTTTGAATGAATCAGAACTTTAAATAATTTTTAAATAATTCAACAGATTATTTCAAGGTTTAGTCCAAAAATATGTACCTGTATTTGATCTAGAAATAAATAGTACAAGGAATTTTTAAAAAGACTTGAAATGCTGAGCAAGGTCGAGAATTTCATTATATTTATATCTTCCTTAAAATGAGAAAACTCCATCATTACTTTTTTCATTAATTTTAATAATATAATAAATAAATTCAGACCAGTAATTGACAAAACTAGGGAAGTAAAAGTTAACTAGCTAAAATTTCTTTATGTTCAACAGCAACAGTGAAGCCGTGTGACTAGCCACACGTGACTATCAGTCTAGACTATGATCATGTTCAATTGCAAATGCTAGGAAACCACTGAGGGGTTTGTTCATCTACGATGCCACTCACTTGGAACGTCGCAGAAAAAGCTGTCTTTGTGGAAGTTCCAGTCAACTTCTCTTTTCTCTCTTTCATAATGATCATCTGACCATCTATCATCCCGATGGCTGAAATGGAACAACAATTTGATCTTCGATAAAATTCAAGCCATTTCAAGGCTGATAAGCATACTGAAAACAGAACTTCCTCAAAGCTATGACCTACTTATTCCTTGATATTAAGTTGAAAGGATTAAAGCAACCAACATTAATTTTCTCACTTAAAAAAAAAAAAAAAGAAAATCTTACCTTTTCATCCTACTACACAAAACCTTAAAACACAATGAAAAGTTAAACTCAGTGGCAAAGATTTCTGAGCCATACATTTTACATTTAAACTTTTTGTTCAGGCAGTATTTGAAGAGGAATTCATTAAGCAATGTTTTGTCTAAAAGTTATATAAAAATAAATGATCCATTACCTTTTGGCTTGTTCATCGGCATATTTAAAGGGATAATTTGCTAATGTTGCTTTGTATCCTGTATTATTCACCATATTATTCCATGTGACCAATCTCTGGCCTATTGCTGTTCCTCTTGGTTCAAAACCCTAAGGCAAAATTACAAGCTCTCATCAGTGTATTTCATTTCAGACTAAGTATAGTTACAATAAAAGCTTGGGAAAGCAATGTCAAAGTGATGTATAGCTTTCAACAGAAAATACAGCTGTTCCTCATAATTCCTCCAGAGGTGATTGCATTAAAACAAGATGCCTTGACATGATAATGATCACCTATTTGCTGTGGCAAAACAGTTTGATTCTTAGGTATGTTACATGTCTAAGGAAAGAGGAAAAAATGTATCAGAAGTTTATCTTTCTAACTTATGCCTAAGCATTTAGTAAATACTTATTTTTATCTTATGAAAATTATGATCAAATTAAATCACGTTATGCATTGTTAGTATTTTTACAAAGAGTGTATCATTATCCTGGATCATATTTTTTTTCATTATTCCAATCCAGAGAAACATTCACTTAAAAACAGACTTTGCTATCTGTTAGTAATACTGAAATTCCTTTAACTTCTCTGGCAGAAAACGGAGATAGTGTTAAAGACATTATGAGAATATTTTTATAGAAGGCAAATTCTCCAACTTATTGCTTTTTAGCTTAAACATGGGGACCAAGAAGGAAACCTTCCAGATTTTTGAGGTTAAGCAAGTTCCTTGACCTTTGAAGAACCTGATAATACAGATAAAGTCATGTCTTTACTTTTCAGAAAGAGAATTGTTGTCTGCTTACTGAAAAAGCTTGAGGTTTTTAAAGAAATGGGTTACTAAATAACATAATGCAACATGTATTAAAATACATAATTTTTGGAGATGATTTTAGGCTAAAGAAAACATAAATGCTACTTACCAGCAATGGATCAGAGAAGTCAGGAAGCTCTGGGACTAATATTCCAACCAAGGCACAGACCACGATAAACATCGTGCACATGCCCAGGACCCCCACCGGCCAGTCGGCTATCAGGGCTGCGTAACTACAGAACACAGAAAAGTCACAAGGAAGGCCCTTTGCAGAAACATTTTAGCTACCTAAGAGAGCAATTAGTTAAATCTTCATATTTTAGACCAAATACAGGTATTTATCCATAAAATATCTAATGGGATTATAAGTATTTGTATGTAATTGTAGTAGAAAGTTACAAGATCATTGTCTCCTCATTTCTGTGATAAAGTATGCAGCACTGTATGCCCCAGGCTACTGAGAGTCAGAATAACGTTCATATATGACAAGTAACATTTGACATCTACATCTATGCCTGTGAAGTAGATATAAAATATACACTTCATTAGTGGAGAAAAAATTTTACCAGAAGATCCATTCTCTTTGCAGTCTCTTCCAGAGCTTTTGTTTCTCTAGTTACTCCCTTTCTCCACCCCTTCACGCTCACAGTTCTTAAAGAACTCAGTCTATAAACAGGTTCGTGTAGTGCAAACCTTAAAATAGCCAAACCAAACACTTCCCATAAACCTGTAACTTTCCTTCCAGCTAAGACTGCAGTGAATCTATCCACTAGATATGTGAGCTCCATGAGGGCAGAAATTCTTGTCTGATTCATTTAGTGTACTATCTTTTAGAACCTTTTAGAAGGTGATCAATAGCTATCTATTGACCAAATAAACAAACACCCGGTGCTTGTATTCTCCAGCTACTACAATCTGGCTTTATTTCCTTCCACATGTGGAGAACTGTCTCTGTTACCAAATCCTACCATTGGGCCCTTTCTTCCAGATGCACTTCCCACACCCTCATTTGTTACCTCACATTGAAAGACCTGTTCCTGTGTCCCTTCCATAAGGTCCTGGATCACATGTTATTATTTTGAACCCTTCCAAGTATTTTTTTTTTTTTTTTTGAGACAGAGTCTTGCTCTATTGCCCAGGCTGGAATGCAACGGCACGATCTTGGCTCTCTGTAACCTTGGCCTCCCAGGTTCAAGTGATTCCCCTGCCTCAGCTTCCTGAGTAGCTGTGATTACAGGCACCCACCACCACACCCGGCTAATTTTTGTATTTTTAGTAGGGAGGGGATTTCACCATGTTGACCAGGCTGGTCTCGAACTCCTGACCTTGTGATCCGCTCACCCCGGCCTCCTAAAGTGCTGGGATTCCAGGCGTGAGCCGCTGCACTTGGCCGACACTTCCACGTCTTAACATGAACTGAGTGCCCAACAGAAGCTGACTAAACTAAACTTTCTCTGAAATTCAAAATGCATCCTGCAAACTTCTGGTATCTTGACTCTTTATTAAAAGAAGAAAAGCAAGACAAAATACTTAACTTGTGGACCACTACTCTCAAATTCTCAACAATGTTACCTCATTTGGCTGCTGCAATGGCCATTTCTGGCTCATCTGAAATAGGATTCTTACTCATATATTTCTGAGTTATTTCTTCAAAATCATGCTAGTAGTTACAAATAATTCTGGTGGCTCTAAATATCAGTCTGAATAAAAGCTACTATATGTCTCTAAGAATAGATTGCCAATTTTTATAATCTGCTGTCTTAACTGTATAGATCTGGCTTTGGGGGGATATTTGCTTCAAATTATAATTCTAATAAGGTATTAAAATACAGCATAATTATGCTTTAAGGGAGCATGTGGACAGGCATTTTTCACTGCTGCTCTTTTAAAGTAATCTTATAGGTCCAGACTGGGTGGCTCACACCCATAATCCCAACACTTTGGGAGGCTGAGGTAGCCGGATCACCTGAGGTCAGGAGTTCAATACCAGCCTGGCCAACATGGTGAAACTCAGTCTCTACAAAAATACAAAAATTAGCTGGGCGTGGCGGCACATGCCTGTAGTCTCAGCTACTTGGGAGGCTGAGGCAGAAGAATTACCTGAACCCAGGAGGTGGAGGTTATAGTGAGCAGAGATCACATCACTGCATTCCTGGGTGAGCAACATTCTGTCTAAAAAAAAAAGAAAAAGAAAGAAAGAAAGAAAGAAAAGAAAAGAAAAGAAAAGAAAAGAAAAGAAAAGAAAGAAAGAAAGAAAGAAGAAAGAGAGAGAGAGAAAGAAAGAAGGAAAGAAAGAAAGAAAAGAAAGAAAGAAAAAGATTATAAAAAGAAATAAATACATACACACATACAAATAAGGATGCCCTTATTCAGAGTACCAGTTTCTCTTGTGCTTTACATAAATTATCATCTTGTTCAATTCTCACAACCACCCTTTGAGATGAAACTGAGGCATAGACAAGTTATAGAACTTATTCGATGTCACAAAACTAGGAACCTAGATAGTCTGGCTCTGGAGTCAGGCCTTTAAATCTCTGTGTTGTCATTTCTTTCTTTAGACACAAGAGTAACTAGAAACATTAGGAATAACTACACTTGCCATAAATGTCTGCTTCCTAACACTTACAATTAAAAATTCCCAGCCCTACTAGTAGTTAATTTCTCTATGCAAAATCATACAGCTTCCACGTTTGAACATTATTCACTACATTTGGATTTAAAAACTCATTCAGGAAAAATGATGCTAGATAAGGCAGAATAACCTTTTAGAATAATTCTGAATATAATAAAGACACATAAATGACAATAAGTTGATTGTGATTGTTCAGATGTAAACACCAAGTGGCTAGAAGCTTTCACACGTCTAGAACACACCCTGTGCAATAATATTCTCCTCACTTTATTTCCTCTTCCACCAAATGCAAACTAAGATGAAAGTAACTAGTTTTGAAGCAATAAAGTCCTCTGTTTCAACAGCACATTTGAGACTACATTCATTGCTTCAGACTTAAAAAGAGTCCTTTACACTTTAGACCATTAAAATATCAGCCCTGTGAAATGAAAATGGCCCCGGGCTTACGTGGTTATTCATTACATTTTATTTTAAACGGATCCATTTTCTCTCAAATGAATCAGAAGTTATGCATTTTTACTCACTAACATGTTATCAAGAGAGGGCAGTAGGCCCCAAATTACTTAGTATACATACTGTGGTTTAATTTACCCATATAATGACTTTTTATTTTGTGTTCTTGAAAAATCTGCACACACATGTATAGCGACCTTCAAAACCCTATTCAATAATTGCTTTTCTTTCCTTTGAAAACATTTGGTTTTGATTTTACGGTACTGCTACACACCATATACGTACACTGACTACATATGGAAATTTTATGGCATTAGTGATTTCAGCACATTTCTTCCAAACACGTTTAACCTTACTATATTACAATTCTACTTCCTTACACAGCAGATGTTTCACATGCTAACCCTTCCTAGAGATAACTGTTCACACTTAAGAAATGGGATCACCATCTGAGTATATCAAACGCCATGGGGGAAAGCCCGATCATTCTGAGTAAGTGTCACTCAAACAAGCGTTTCTCCCAAACACCACAAAATTGCTGAGGCTAATTCCACTCCTCCTGCTATCTATCTGAAGTATATATATAGTATAGCTGAGGGTACCACATGGGAAACAGACTTGCATGTGCAATGTGAAATCCAGACAATGGTTGTAATATCAAGATAAAAATCTAATAAAGTAGGAAAATTGGAGAAGTAAAGGAAATTAAAAATGGCCTATAAATCTCACAAACATATATATATATTTGATGATGCTATATATATATATATATATATCCTGTATATTATTCTCTTTGAAAAGTGAACCACATGTGCAGAAGAATTTTCAAAGGAATCATTCTTTTAACTATACTGTATTCTTCTGCATATCAAATCCTTGTCTTTTGTCCACCTGCTCTAATATTGAAAATCTTTAGACACTACAATATAATGGTAAATGCAGCCCATTTCTGTAACACCTGGCTTACAGCAGGTATTCATTTTCCAGTGAAAGACGAGGTGACAGTTTTCCTGGAGGCCCTCCTGCCGTACTAGCTGCTGAGGTTACGGCCTGCTCTTTGCAGGGCATCGCTGTATGAAAGTTCACATCATTTTCTCAATAGGTTAAGTCTCAAATAGGAGACAGATCTGAAGGGCTCATTCTCCTCTTATAGAAGAAGAAACAGAAGTAACAGAGACAATGAAATCCATTTGTGGGTGGACTGTGGATCTGAGTTAGCAGGCATGCTGCCTGGTACCCTGGTCCAGGTGTTACTGCCATGCTGGAGTTTTCACTGGTACTCAATGGAAGTCCCTCAAATACAGTCAGAGATTTTCAGTCACTTTATTATTGGATTTATTCTGGAAACAGATCAGAAATAACTGTTAAAACAAATAAAGTATCTGAAAGAGCCAACTTATGCTCAAGTGACATTAAAATGGGGGCCAATTTTAAGTGGGTTATTTATATTACAATAACATACCCCCATATAATAAATTTTCCTCTTAGCTTACAAATACTTGTTTCCCTTGTTCTTTGCTGTCTTCTTTTTTCTCTTCCCTCTGAGCAGAAAACCGTGTTTCAGATGGTGTAAGTCAGTGCCCCATACCAGAGGCTTCCCTTTCCTCAACAACCACTGGATCTTCAACCCCTTACAGTCTGGCTTTTGCTCTCATGACTCTTCTGAATTGCCCAAGTCAACTAACTATTCTTGGCTTTTATCTTCCTTGACCTGAGCAGTATTTAACACTGTTAGCTACCTCTTTCTTCCAAAATCCTTTCCCCTTTGGTTTATTCCTTTCGGTTTCCCTTAATAACTCTTATTCCTCTTGTCCCTTAAAGATAGGCATTTCAAAATGTTATTAAGTCATAACTTTTCCAGTGGCACCAACTATCAACTTAATGGGAAGAGTGATTGAAGTTTGGAAATTGAAAAAAAAAAAAAAAGAATATACAACTTTTTTTTCTTGTGAAGTAACAAATTCATCCAACAGTTAGCATTAAATAGTAAGAATGCAAGACATTCTGGGAATACACAAATGGCAGACTTGGATCTTGCCCTCAGGGAATTTACAGCCTAATACAGAAAATAAGACAGGCACACAAGTATCTACAAGACAGGTAAAAAAAAAATACTTGGTTTTTAAAGGGGTACCAATGAAATGTTTTGTGAATTCAACAAGGGAAGCAATAAGTTCCAGCCAAGGTGCAAACGGGGAATCAGGAAAGGCTTTGCTGAAGAAGTTGTATTTATATGCATATATACTTAAAATATATTAGAACTTTGCTTAATAATACCAATTTAATAACAGAGAATGAATCTTTTCAAAGTAAAATTTTTAGTTATTTGCAAAAGCCCTATTACTTACAGAAAAGTAGAAATTCATTTTCTTAATATGACATATTCACTTGCATACCTCTTTCCCTTTATTTTTTTCTTTTATTTTTGCAAAAATGAAAAGGGAATTGGATAAACAAAATATAATATATACATACAATGGAATATTATTCAGCCTTAAAAAAGGAGATTCTAATACATACTACAACATGAATGAACCTGGAAGACATTATACTAAATGAAATAAGCCAGTCACAAAAGGACAAATACTGTAGGATTCTACTGATACAAGGTACTTAGAGCAGTCAAACCCATTTAGACAGAAAGCAGAATGATAGTTGCTAGGGCCTAGGGGTAGGGGAAAATGGGGAGTTAATGTCTAATGGGTATAGAATTTCAGTTTTACAAGAGAAAAACGTCTGGAAATGGATGGTGGTGATGGTTATACAACAATGTGAATGTACATAATGCCAATGAACTGTACTCTTAAAAATGGTTAAAAGGCAACATATATGTTATATATGCAACACATATAAACATGTTATATATACAATGTATAAACACATATAAACATCACATTTAAAGCATATCAACATGTTAAAACTATATCTCATATAAACCTGTTATGTAACATATAAACCTATGTTATAATATAACATATAACTCTGTTATACATATTATATATATGAGTGCTCTCTCTCCCTCCCTGCCCCTCTCTCTCTCTCTCTCTCTCTCTCTCTATATATATATATATATATATATATATATTTTACTTTATTTTGAGACAGGGTCTGGCTCTGGCACCCAGGCTGGAGTACAGTGGTATATTTCAGCTATGTACAAACTCTGCTTCCTGGGCTTAAGAGATCCTCCCACCACAGCCTTCTGAGTAGCTGGGACTACAGGCGCAAACCACCATGCCTGGCTAACTTTTTGTATTTTTTTGTAAAAACGGGTGTCCTCAGGTTGCCCTGGCTGGTCTCAAACTCCTGACCTCAAGTGATCTGCCTGCTTCAGCCTCCCAAAGTGCTGGGATTATAGTCATGAGCCACTGTACCTAGCCTATTTGTATATTTTATCACAATTTTTTAATAGGAGAGTTTACTAATTAATATTTATGTAGTAATTTCACTTCAAGAGAGGATAACTCCCTTGAGGCAGGCTTCAGTGTTATCAGCATCTGAGCTTCTTTGGCAACTGAATTTCAAAGATCACTTAGAATTTCGCTTTTTTTAAAAAAAAATAAAACAAACAGAGTCTTGCTCTGTCACCCAGGCTGGAGTGCAATGGCCCAATCTTGGTTCACTGTAACCTCCGCCTCCCAGGTTCAAGTGATTCTCCCACCTCAGACTCCCAAGTAGCTGGGATTACAGGCACCTGCCATCATGCCTGGCTAATTTTTGTATTTTTGTAGGGACAGGGTTTCACCATGATTGTCAGGCTGGTCTTGAATTCCTGACCTCAGGTGATCTGCCCACCTCGGCCTCCCAAAGTGCTGGGATTACAGACATGAGCCACTGTGCCCAACTCACTTAGAATTCTTAAATGTAATGACATTATATCAGGAATTACAATGTGTAAGAACATCTGATGAGAAAATGCTTCTTTTCAGGAACTCTTATCTATTTAAAATTTTCTCTATTGAAAGATAAGCCTTAAACACTTCCACATAAAAGAATACTTCCATTGGTAACAGGATTTTTTTTTTAAAAAAAGACAACCTCTCTGAAATAAACTGCCATGAATTCAAGTCATGGGAGTTGGCAGAACAGTATCTCTTTCCTCACTAAAAAGCCACTGAGAAGCCAACCCACTGCAGGAAGGAATGCCAAATAATTAGACAAATATAAATGTTTACACACAAATAGATTTGATTTTATTATTATTACTTTTTTGAGACAGAGTCTCACTGTACTCCAGGCTGGAGTATAGCAGCATAATCTTGGGTCACTGCAACTGCCACCTCTCAGGTTCAAGTGATTCTCCTGCTTCAACCTCCCAAGTAGCTAGAACTACAGGCATGTGCCACCATGCCTGGCTAATTTTGGATTTTTGGTAGAGATGGGGTTTTGCCATGTTGGCCAGGCTGGTCCCGAACTCCTGACCTCAGGTGACCCACCCACCTCAGCCTCTCAAAGTGCTGGTATTATAAGCATGACACACTACACCAGCCCTAGACACAAATAGAACTTAATAGGATTGGAAATCTACCTTAAGATTAAAACCACTTTTGGAGATATGGAATTCCTTAAGCAGCCAACTCATGGGAAATTTATTTTTCTTTCATAAAAATATGAATGAGGAAAGTGGAAAGAACAGCAAAATATGGAGAAAATACTAGATGGGAAAAAGCATGCAGGTAAGTTTACTATTTAATAAGATAACCCAGATTATTTTACCTTTTTGGTAACTTGAAAGGTCTGGATGGTCTGAAAAAAAAAAGCAAAGGAAAAATGATCAAAAACAAAGCATCATAACATAAACAAAGGCTTTACATATGTACTGAACATTTTACTTATCTCTATTACAAAGAATCCTGGAAGTGTTAAAAAAGACAATCTATTTGAGAGATTTTAAACAAGGAATGTTGGCCACTTCACATACTAGCAGAGAGAGCTCTAGTGGCTAGTCAGGAGGCAGAACCTTCCCAGACTCCATATCATCCTCTCCTGATGGAATCATAGTTACATTGTACAATATTCTTCTCTGAGATCTACAGCTACCAGATTCGGTCTTCTCTCTCATAACAGGAATCCACATCCCTAAGTCTCCAATCTAAGCTGCTTCCTTATGTAGCAAAGATTCTAACATTTAAAAAAATAGGACATTAATACCTTCTCATACTAGAAATATTCTATTCCCTCTTCAAGATACCAGCTGCTGCTCCATTTTGCAATTTCTTAATATCTAACTTCGCAATCCACTTCAACAGATAAGGGCTTGTATTTCTAATCAGCTCTTTCCCATAGTTTGTTTTATTATTCCCTCTCATCCTCTATGCCTCCCAGATACAGGATAAGCTTGCTAAAAAAATCTGAACTCAATTTCAACCTCCAAACTCTGTAATCCCACCAGGTTTTTTTTTTTCCTATTTAATAGAAAGCATTTAATTTAATAAATATTTGTTGAACAAATAAAAGTACACTGGTTATCACAGTGTGGTCTAAAGACACCCGGGAGTTCCTGAGACCCTTTCATGGGGTCTGTGAAACCTCCCTTTTCCAACTATAGATCTCTGTAAAGCCAGATTTTCTTCATATACTTCATATATTTCAATCAAATGGCATATTGCCATAGATTACACAAGCAAATATGAGAATCCTATTTTCTAGTAAGCCACATGTCAAAGAGATTTGCAAAAATGTGAAGCAATAATACTTATTGCTAAAGTTTTTTGTTTTGAAAAATGTAATTATTTTTCACAGAAAATGTTATTTATATTAACATTTAATGGGCTTATTATTTTTAATGAGTTTCATAATTTAATATTTGTCAGTTCCGTTTCCAATATGTCACATATCAGCTATAACACATGAACAAAAGCTCTCTGAAGGTTTTCAACAATTTTTGAAACTGGAAAGGGGTCATGTGACCCAATGTTGAAGAACTACTACGCTAATATATTGAGGATATATAAATATTTGCTGACTGAATAAATGAATTACCTAGCTACATACTCCTTCCTAACATGAAATCTTTCACCAGACTGTACTATACTTGGAGGAAACAAAACAAAATGTAAAAATCTGTCCTCTAAACGTTCTTCTTTAAGCTATTACTGTTTCAATAGTTGGAACCCTACCGTGGAATTTCTTGAAGATTTAAAGTTCTCTTTCCTATTTTCTCTCTCCAATTACATCTCTCACTCAGATACACGTATCCATTCTTAAAAAGAAACATTTATCTAATTCCTAGTATATCCATGAAGGAGACAAAAAGGTTCACAACTATACAGAGCGAACATTCTAGAATGCACTTTGCATTAAAATGTTCATACGAAAGATGTAAGTGTTCTAAACTTCAAGCTTTACTTATATGCCCTCATTATAGATTCTAAGCCCATTAAAATATCGAAACCAAGGAGATGGAACAATCTCAGAAGTTGCCAGCACTGAAAAGAATTTTAGGGAATATATATTCCAATTCCATTGCAGCTTCATGTTTAGAGATGAGCATCAGTTTGCCTGTGGTCTCTCAGTGTCTTAATAGTGGAGCTGTAGCGAGAACTCAAGTCTCTTGATGCCTAATTTACTGCTGTCTGTCCTGTGAATATTGTCTGTAAAACCAAGGAAGAAAAGTCCATAGGGCAAAGATAAAGTATTAATCTCTTACACAGAAAAGAATTATCTTTTCTTTTGGCAGATGTGGAACTTAAAGTCTGAGTTTCCACTAAGCACAGCATAAGAGAAGATGTTGCTTTAAGAAAAAAGATGAGACTGAATATTTATAGCATTATAAAGGATAACAAAAATGCATTATTTTTATATATGTACAGTAAAATAATTCATTTAAAAAATCTAAAAAAGGTGTTAGATACATAAAAAGGAACTATATCTTATTTGTATTCCTATCTTTATAACTAGTATACTGTATGATTTTTTTGTGGATGTCAGCTCAGTATATGTTGGGTTAATGAATGGTAATCTTTCATTGCTTTTCTCACACCTAGCAGCTTTGAAGTAAGTAGACAATGAATTAAAAAAAGCAGGAAGCTGAGGACATAAATATTAACATAGGTAAATTTTATTTTGTTTCTCTTTCTCTCTTAAATACATACACTCTCTCTCTTTCGCTCTCTCTCTTCATTACTTCAGCCCATTCCTGTCAATCATAAACCCTTTCGACATTTTACTAAACTCTGTAAGTTTCTCTTTGTGTTTCTGTATCCTATAGTATAGGCTCTCTGATTCAATGCTGCAGGAACCATTAGTTTGTTGGTTAATCAGAAAGGTTAATTAAAGAGGAACATTTTTTGAAATTCTATATACATTCCTTAAATAATAGTAGCTTAAACATAAATGTCAATGTGTTGTTACATAAACCATAGACATGCTACATTGTCTATGACTTGAGTGTCTGAGGACTTAGAATACTTGTGAGTATCCTGGCTATACTGACTGTAATACACATCTAAATTTTGATGATTTTTTTTCCAAAATCTTTTGCAATTTTTTCTTCCATGCCTAATTCAACAGTAAATTTTTTTGTAGCAATTAACCTTTATCTAGGTTTCCTAAGGCTATAATTTTCTTTTCATGAAAACAGCTTTATCTTTTAGCACCTATATATAAATGAACTAAAAAATTTAATCAGATGGCATAATTACCAAAACAAGCCAACTGGTATGCATGGGTTTGGTAAGCACACTTGTCAAATGTTGGGGACAGAGGGGGTGGCTGGCACTCAGCTGGCCAGGGCCATCCAAGCATGCATGGAGGGACGGAGCGTAGGGCAACTCCAGTGAGCTGGTGTGGGCTCAGCAGCTTTACACAGAGTGGGCTTTCAGTGAACACAGTGACATCTGAAGAAGCCATGAAGCACATTTAGTTGTTTTGGTGAATCTACAAAAAGACCCAAAACCCCTAAAACCTATATTTTCAAATACAAGTACATATTGATTTTTCAATATGAGTATTATTGAGATATAATTTATATACCATCTCACTCATTTAAAGTATACAATTCCATGGTTTTTAGTATCTTCATGAGTTATAGTAGGAAAGAGTATGTAGTTAGGTAATTCAATTATTCAGTCAGCAAATATTCAGTCACAACTATACATTGATTTTAAATTTTTTCATTTAAATTTTTTTTTTTTTAGTTGTTCATTTCTTTAACCATTTTTTTTGTTTTTGAGACGGAGTTTCGCTCTTGTTGCCCAGGCTGGAGTGCAATGACACGATCTTGGCTCACTGCAACCTCCACCTCTTGAGTTCAAGCAATTCTCCTGCCTCAGCCTCCCGAGTAGCTGGGATTACAGGCATGTGCCACCACGCCTGGCTAATTTTGTATTTTTAGTAGAGACGGGGTTTCTCCATGTTGGTCAGGCTGGTCTCAAACTCCTGACCTCAAGTGATCTGCCCACCTCAGCCTCCCAAAGTGCTGGGATTACAGGCCTGAGCCACCACGGCTGGCAAATTATTATTATTATTTTTTGAGACAAGCTCTTGCTCTGTCACCCAGGCTTGAGTGCAGTGGGCCAGCTCACTACAGTCTCAATTTCCTGGGCTCAAGCAATCCTCCTATCTCAGCCTCCTGAGTAGTTGGGACCACAGGTGTGTGCCACCACACCCAGTTAATTTTTTAAATTTTTTATTTGTAGATGTAGGGTCTCCCTATGTTGCCTAGGCTGGTCCTAAACTCCTGGGCTCAAGTGATCCTCTCTCCCAGCCTCCCAGAGAGCTGAGATTATAGACATGAGCCACTGCGCCCAGCTTATACATTGATTTTAAAAGAGTATGCTTTCTGAACCCCAGTGATGAAACTATTAATGAACTATGAAAACAAACTTATTTTTCCAGAGAGTAAGGCAGGGAACAATTCCTTGTATGCAAAAATCTTAATTTTTCTTTCCCAGTTTTCTGCTTACACATCCTTAAAAGTACATCTTAAATTTCCAAGAGAAATTAAGAGATTTTGCCCTCTTTAGGCCTAAAATGATCCTCACAGCCATAATTCTGGAACATATCATACTGAGCAAAGAAATGGTATTTTGTTACATACATTTGGGTTGTAACAAGTGTAAACACTCTCTTTCCCCCTCTCACCCCCTGCCACTAACTTTTTCTTTCAACTAAATAGAAATCCAAGGATCTATGACTAATTTACTCTTTAGAAAGAAACAACTATGGGTTCATCATGGTCTCTCTGCTTGAGTAAGGATTTCATGTCATGTTAAATTTGAGACAGTAAGTAGAGATTGTCAACATTTGTTGGAAAAGGAAAATTGAGGTTACCATAAAGAAACCTCCTGGGAAAACATTAGATCCCTCTGAAGTTTCTATACTAATGGGCGTGACAAACAGATGATGGAAACACCCAAACCACACTACAGGTAAAACTTGAAACCTGTTTGATTTCCAGCATTGCCTTCTTTAATTCTGCTTTTTCAATCTCTTACTAGAAACACCTGTGAAAGAAGGCAAGCAAGGGAGTCTACCACATACTTTCATAGATCAATAGTAGCCTTCCTCCATTTGTAAAATCCTTTGTAATTGTTACTTTTAATATCTACCTCATAAAACCTGCAGATGACTTTCATCCTAACTTCAGTCTTGTGTTGACAAATAACTAGTAAAAACAAACAAATCTAACCTCCGAGAGAGAAAAACTATCTTCTTCCAGCATTCACCTTTTAATAAAAACAAACCCAAGCAAGCAATAATAATCTTCAGTGGGAACATTTTCCTGTTCTTGGATGAGGTTTTTA